AGGGCCCATAAATCTGCATTTGAAGAGATCTTCAGTTGATTCTGATGCATACTGAAGTCTGACAACAACTGCCACAGGGCTTAATTCATTTCCCAAGTAAAAGAAATGTAAAATGAATAGAAAGAAGGTACCAGTGCAGTTTCTAAGGAAAACTTCTTCTAACTATTGCAAATCAATCTCATCTAATCCAAATCTTTATAGGGAAGGTTAATTTTCAGTCTCAGGGACAGGATAATGCTTCCATTCCTTCTATTCCTCAAGCATCACAAATATCGGTCAAAATAAAACTCTATCCTTACAACATAAAGCCATTAAATACACCCTTGACAACCCAATCTCAGCCCCAAAGTGTTTATTTGAAAATAGGTAAAGTTATGTAGAAGTCAATAATAAGGTAACCAACAGATTCTAATTTCTACTGGATAGATGAAGTCTTGAATTTTATGGATTCATTGTTTGAAATAACTATTACTTATAAATTCCACCACATCTAGGTCACTAGATGATGCACATTTTGAAACAGTGCTACAGGAAGCTATAGTCAGAGAGAATGAGGCAGAGCGAGAGGATGTCCATTGCCTTCCTAGACCCAGGACATCTACAGCCAGAGTTGCCTTCCTGAAATGAATGATTCCTCTTTGTGAGATTGTTCCCAGAGGTAGTAAGATTCCACTGGAGTTGTATATGGGCTTGCCCTCAAGTCTAAACCTGGCTCTTCTCAATGTTTTAGCTCTATGATGTTACACCACTAGATGGCTCTCGAGCGTCTGTCCTGCACACGAAAGGCCAGGGATGTGAAAAATGGAGTGTACTTTGTGAGCTGTCCCCAGCCATCTTCCTTCGCCAGTGACTCCCACACAGCCAAAAGTGATGTCTCATTTTCTCTCCTTCATTTTCCAAGAGTAGCCCAGTGATGGTGTCTCCAAAGGAAAAAATAAATACCTCAGACCAGGAAAACGCTTGTCTTCACCACGTTCCAAACTTTAAAACCCAGCCAGATGATATGTGTATACTGGCATTGTGAAGCAACGCTCTGTTCTTAAATTTTATAGCATTTCACAGGTGGTTGGGGCTATTAGGGAATGTAATAGCACAACAACAGATTAAAGATACCCAATGTACAAGTCTTACTTGGCCAGGGGAGGCTTAAAGTACGTTGGTGTACATTAACTTTACCCAAATTGCCCTTTTATGTACTTTCTAGAGATGTTGGTTAGAGTGAAAACTCAAGTTGTATTTTTTTTGCTGTTTTTAAAATTATTGTAGTTATTATTATTATTATTATTATTTTGAATCTGTGATGTGAACTCGATTTCCTCTAGGCTCAACTTTTTCTTCTAAACTGATCCAACTTGATGAGAAACTCAAAAATTGGGCAGTCATGTTAACCAAACTCTCCTAATATGATAATCTATTGTTTCCTGGGCAAACATTTGAACCAAGAGAAAAAGCAACCACAAACTGAAATTTCCCATCTAGATGCCTAAGAAAAAATTTGAACTGAGAGATAAAGGAAGGAGGACGGCTGTAGGGTAGAAAAGTCACCCTGTGTCAGAGTAAGAGTTTCACAGGCAAACCAAAGCCATAAGTAATTTGCAGTCACGGGGAAGCTGCTGCTGTGAGTAAGAAGAAGAAATCACTCTGCAGAGGAGAATGGAACATATGTGAAGAAAATATCAGATAGGAGAGAAAATGTAGACTCAAAAAGATTTACAGGGTAGTTATCTGAAACATTTCCTATGAGCACTGCTTGTATTTGCTTCTATCAAATTCTACATGTGGTTCAGAGTCTTTTCAACCACTCCCTCCCCTGCCTTTTAAAATTTTCCTTGAGCTAATTGGCAAAGATCCTTGAAGAGGTCCTTCAAAAATCTAGAAGGCATCTTTTATCATAAATCAACTTGACATACTAAATTCCTGATAGTTGAGTTTACAAAGTGGAGGGAATTTCCGGCTTAAAATAACGCTAAAACTTGTTGAGAAAAATATATGTTTTCCAAGTGTTTCTGGCCCCTTGATGTTCAGTTAGTACAACTAACTCAAGAAGCAGAAGTTGGAGACCACGTTAAGTCGGTACTGAGGCTTGTGGCTGGGGCACGTGCGACCCCTTCCCCCAACCGTTGTCCATAGTTATGCTACCTCTGGAGACCAAAGAACTGATCAAAAAGAAGACTCTGCCTCTGAGTCCTCGGCCCAAATTGGTTTTTGGTTCCTTTTCACCGCCATCTCCTGAAGGGACAACAGGATGGGTCTCTAACCTGGATTCTCTTTATTCTTCCTCTCCGCTCTCCCACGAGGGTGAAATTTTCAGAATGTAAAATAACACATCCTAAGATGGCCTTCGGGGCCCTTGGCGGGGACCTGTTTAACTCTCCAACCTCATCGCGGAGCCCTGCTCTCTTCATTCTCTACTGTATATTCTTTTTGTGTGTGTGTGAATGTGAGCTTGGTACAGTGTGTCTATTTAGCATTATATGGTTCTTAGAACACCTTCTGTTTTGGAAGCAAATGTAAAAATCATTCAACTGCAGAATGTTTTATTATAATCGACAATCTCAGGGACACATCCATCTTTTTTGTGAACTGACGTGCATTTCTACTTGAAGGATGGAATATGAGTATAAATACACGACAATAGAATTGGAGGGTGTAGGCAGAGGTGTTCAGAATTCTAGGCTATTTCAAGGTTTTAGGGGAGCCTTGGTCCTTATCAAGATGAATTTAAATACATGTTCCTCCTATTTTCTGGATGGCCTTAGTATTTTTCCCAGTAACAACCACAAAAAAATTGCCCACTAGAATGACTTTAAAACATATGAAAAATAGGATGGGCATTGCCTGCAATTTATAAGAAATAAAAATATTTTTACAACTTTTCCTTCTGGGCATGAAAAAATTTTTTAAAAAGTTCAAAGATAGCTTTTAAAAAATTGGAAAAAAGATATGAACAGGGTAAAGGAATCCTCTTTGTTGTCATTGAACTGTTATCCTGAGTTGAAGTCATAGAAAAGTTACTCAAGAGAGTATGTGAAATTGACTATTTTCCATGTTCTTTTTTTTATTCTGTTTTGATCTATTAAGGTTCTTTAAAAAAAAAAAATCAATAAAAAATATAAGCCTGTAGATAGTTACTCCTCCACCATCCTGGATATTCAAATTTTGTCAAAGAATTCACCCTCTGTCCCATGCTCGAATCTGAAATTTGCCATTTCTTCTAAAAATTCAATACCATTTTCAATCTAATTATATCACCGTATGATTGTGGGTATTGTTGGATGCTTCCTTGCCTTTTGGGGAATTCCTCTCCTTTGATCTGGTTAGGCAAGTTAAGCCTTCACTTTCCACTCTCTTTCAGCACTTTTGAAATTTATAATGCAAGCTAGAACTCTATGAAATCATATAAAACCGCCAATGTTCGATTTGTCATACAAAAGTGGCAGTTTCACGTGGTTCAATCTAATATAATAATAGCTAACATTTATTGAGTAGTTACTACAGTTCAAATATTATATAAATACTTTGTATACATTGTTTTATTTAATAATTTCTCATTTTACAAACTAGGAAATTAAATATCAGAGAAGTTAAAAATAAATTAGCCATAGTCAAATCACGATTAAGTAGTTGAAGCTGAGAGTTAAAACTAGATCTATCCCACTCCCAAGTCCAAGCTGTTAAAGTCCACTGTCTTTTAAGGGTGGTTTCTGATTTCTTTATTTTTTAATGAAATTTTTTTAATATCATTATTGGATACTTCTTTCCAGGGGAAGCTATCATTAACCCAGATGAAAGTGGTAATTTCTGACAAACATCTCCATGGGTCACATAGACAAAGCCATTCCAAGGAGCTATACTTAGATGAATATCCAAATGTTTCCCAAAAGCAAAACAGTAAATTGCATTTTCCACTTTTCATTGGAATGTTGTCATTTTGCAGGTAAGACATTTTATGTGTTCCTAAAGCAAATTATTTTTCTTAAAAACACAGTGATCTGCAGCTTCTAGGGACAGGGTTCAATCCCGAATAACGGAAAACATTTTGACTTCCCCTAGTTATCACTGAAGGAGAATATGAATGTCTGGAGAAAATAACCATTCATGCCATATCACTTGCCTTTCACAAATCATCCTAGAAATAAATCTGTGTCCTCTGTCTGCTACAAGCATTTTAGAAGTCTTTAAAAGTCATTTTTAATTACTGAGAATGGGGTCTATATGTAGCTTTAATAATTTTTTTTTTAATGCAGAAATTGTGAGTTCGAAACCAAAATCAAATGTGCTTTGTGAGCTTTAGAACATGCGATAGTGCAGCCATCTGGCCCCCAGGCCATTTCTGCATATAAGATATTAATAACATTTTAATTTAAGTAATAGATAAATCTGTTTCAAGTGCCTCAGCATCCATTCTCAACATTGCCTGCAGATCTGTTGATCCTAAATAATATTTTCAAGCTGTGGTAAGGTTATTGGTGTTCTGAAGCAATCTGGAAATACCAAGTTCTTATGCCAGGAAATGGGTCAAACTGTAATCTCTTCATGTTACTGTTTTGATTTCAGAAATAGCTGTGTCCTTCACACACTGGGAGCTTGTATACTTCACCCCTTTTATGGATTTGATTACAGCTGCCATTCTGTGTTTCAATGACAATGTTATTAAATATCTACTTTTAATTAATCTCTCTGGCATGGGGAACTTCTCTTCAACCTCAATCTATTTTTAGTCCCTCAAAACAGTTTCACCTTTCTCTTTAAATAGCTATTCTATAATATGCCATTCTCTAGTGATTATTATAGAAAGTAGCACCATACTTGCTCAGCCAAGAGAGGCAGCATGCATGTTAGAGTCAGATTTACAGTTGGATCTTAGCTCTGCCACATGGGGCTGTGTGATCTTGGGCAAGTTACACTATTTCCTGATACTTCATTGGTGAAATGGAGGTGCATGGGGTTGATAGGAGAATCTCACTACAAAAGCAACATCAAAGGCCCTGAGTGTCAAGTTCACAGTTATTTGCTTTACATTTTAACTCCTTTCATTTCTGTTTGGTGCATAGTTATATCTCATACAGAAACAGATGAAAAAATTCTTTCCTTTTATTTCTTTGTTCTATTGGTTTTATGTTTAAGAAGCTGGTATTTTTTTATACCACTGATTAATTGGTTAATTTAAGAAGTGTGCAAAGTCTAGCTTGCCGTATTTCATTCTTTTAAAGGTACAATCACTTCTTTCTCATATCATTTTTATGGCAATGGGCCAAGTAAGTGCATTTACTCCATATGTGTCTCTGTCATTTGGATATCTGTCAACATTTGTGGCTCTCTCTTCAGCTTCTCTCTTCACGATATTGATGGGGACTAAGGGTCAGGATCCAAAGATGAGCAGGGACCACAGCCATCTGGAAAAGGAGAATTAACTCACTCACTCAAGCAGCAAAAGAAATCAACAACCCCTCATTCACCTCTTTTGTTCTTTTAATAAATGGCTCAATGAAGTCTCTGGCTAATACCAGGCTTGATATACTCTTGTCCACTCCTATGGAAAATAAAATGTGAAAACTCACGAAAGCAGCCAAAGAAGCTCTTGATGGTTTGGAGGGAAAGGTTACTCTCAGTTGCAAAAAGAAGATGGATATGTCTAGAAAATGTCCCACATTGTTAGTATTTCAGCTTGACCTTGAAACAGCTCAGAAGTTGTTTTGCAGTGGTGGTCAGGTTAAAGGATTAGCTGAGGGTGTACCTCTACCTACGTGACTTGTCACAAGGTTACGTTGGCAGAGCAAGCACATGCTATTTTATTTTTATGGTGAACTATTGCCTAACTAGCTATAGGCCCAGTGTTGCAGTTAGAATAGAATGTGGGAGTATGTATATCAGACATAATAAAAAAAATTATATGTGTTAATGAGAGCACTTTTGACTCTTGACACGATCTGTTCTCCAGCTATATATGGCAAATGCTGTGAGTCTGTGACTCTGAGCTACTCTGATTAAGTGGACTTGTCATTCTAATACGCCAATTAATGACTTCAATTTCAGTTTACATCTCTGTAAAACAGAAAGGACATTAGAGTCTTGCCTCTTGCTTGTATTCTTGATCCCGTGTTCCCTTTGAACTGCTTATTTGCAGGTTGAGTAGTAAATGCTAGTAAATAACCTCATAATGAAGAGCGTGTTCGTTTTCAGTCTCCTAACCTGCATTTGAGGTTTATTTCAGTTTAGAAAGTGTGTTTATTTGAGGTCACTTAAGTGAACCAATGGATATTATGGATGATTGTGCTTAGGCTCATTGGAGCCACCACTTGGTGTTGTCACTAACTTTCAGGATGAGTAGGTTTTGAAGAGAATCACCAATGGAAAGAACAGCATAGCAAATAATAATAATATAGCAAAATATAAGCCACGTTTGAGGTGGGAGGGGGAGTGGAAGGTACTGCTAGAAAGAGAGTTTAATGAGTTCCAAGAAAGTGATGAATGCCAACCCAGAAAAAAAGACAACAACGGATTGTATGACCTGTCAATAAAGAGTTCCTGAAAGGTTAGTTAGTAATATGAAGTGATATGGTCTTAAAGAAGAGAACAGAGCTATGTTCCAGAAAAATAAATCTAGAACCATGGCATATAGAGAGAACAACAGCAACAAACGCAGCTCATATTCACCTAATAAGGGCACAAGCAACTTCATAATCAAATGAGAGATTCTCACGCTATGCTCTGAATTCATTTTATATTTATAGCACATAATTAAGTAAAATTTAAGGCTTTGTAAAAAAATTTTTACCTTACTAAATACCTGTCAGATACCAGTTTGTTTGCAAAGTCAAATGATTTATACACATGGTTTATAGGAGTCAGTAATTAAGTCTACATAATTAGGTTTATTTTCAAAGTTGTTTCATGGTGTAGTGATTTTTTTATCTTAGAGTTTCAGTTATGTTAGTCGTGTTTAATATTTTTTTTCAAAATAAATGATTTGTAGTTTATTACTCAAATTAGTTAATCTATAAACCTAATTAGCAGTTTTAAGTGTGGTAATTGATGATTTAATGACTGGATTTCAAACAACTCTTGTTCAATAGTAAGGTTACATGGGAGGTATTATTGTCATTCCTGTTCTGTAAACCCATGATATAATATATCCAACATAATGACATTCAATTATGTTTTGGGGAGGATTGATCAGGTTGTAGGCTTACTGGTGCGTTGTAGATCTGCTTCAAAACAGAGCATAAGCCAGAAAATTTATTGTTGGATCAAACACTGGTTTAAATAACAGAATTCCCAAGCTGTTCTTTACATGTATTTGATGATTATAAGCTAATTTTAAGAGACTGTTTTTGTTCTCTCTACCTTCTTCTCTTTTTCTACACCTCTATTCATTAGGCCTAGAACAAGACTGAACAAATAGTTGGCACTCATTAAATAAAGGTACGCTTGAAAAAAGCCCTCTCACAGTTTGTAATTATCATAATGTTAGAAGAAGTGCCTGCTTCAAGGAGAAGCCCCGCAGCCATGGCAGGTCTTTAGTATCCCTCAGACCTCATCATTCAACTCCTACTCTTCTTTTAATTTAGGTAAGAGGAGATCGTATTTGTATTAATGAACTTAAAATTCAGCTCTGTCATTTTAGCTATAAGATCATGGGCAAGTTGTTTCCCTTCTCTGAGCATCACCTTCTTTCATCTTTAAAATGAAGATAATAACATGTCAGGGCTAAAATTAGTATCCAATGAAATGTGCCTTGTAAAGTAATGTTTAAGACTGAAATGTATGGGTCCCTGATTCTAGCTCTTTGTTCCAATTCTATCCATATGCTCAATTCACAATTGGAGGTTGTGATCAACTCTTCAGCCAATGCATGCAGTAGACATGCCACAAAGGCTTTGAAATTTTCATAGACGGCCAAGTTTATCAACACCTTAAAAATCATAAAAAGCACAATGCACTAGATCTCTTCACATACACTGTATGTTAGTTATTTTGTTATACCTAAAGCAATATAAATATTGTAGTATCTCCGATAGCTTATCAAATGTTTGCTATTTCTCCCTATGAATGTTTAACAAATTGTCCTGAGCCTCCTTCTACGTAGCTTTTAATCAGAAGCATCTCTAGCAGTAC